TACTAAGCCCCCCTTCTCTTCCATTGCAGGCAAAAATTGAGGATCCGGAAACAGGGAAGTCTGTGCCTCTGAACACTCCCGGGGAGCTTCAGATCCGTGGCTACTGTGTCATGCTGGGCTACTGGGATGACCCCGCCAAGACGAGCGAAGTGGTCACTGCTGAGAAGTGGTACAAGACGGGGTGAGTCTGGGAACAGCCCTGCTCCTCCCGGTCTGATCTCTCCGTGAAACTTCGGATCAGCTTTTAGCACAGAGCCCTCGGTGCCAAGTGTCCCTGGAGATGGGGACAGTCCCTTCGCTACTGGTGCGATGGGGGCTGTGGGGGTACACTGAGCCTTCCCCCAAGCCCTGATGTTTGTGTGGACGCTGCTGATGGCAATGTCTGGCTGTAGCAGGAGCTCTCTGATCTCTTCCCTGTGTTCCAGCGGCATCTCAGCCGTTACCCTCCGGATACCCCGACCTGGCCTCCAGACCAGGCTGGGTGGGAGCATCAGCCATTCTCCCACGCAGCTGGGACAGGACTAGGAGCGTGGTGTCATTGCAGGGACCTCGCGAGCCTGGATGAGCACGGCTACTGCAAAATTATAGGCCGTTGCAAGGACATGATTATTCGGGGAGGAGAGAACATCTACCCAGCAGAACTCGAGCAGTTTCTCCACACCCATCCCAAGGTTGAGGAGGTCCAGGTGAGCGGGAGGGAGGTGGGATGGGTGAGCAGCAATGGGTCCTGTGGTGGGAAACCTGTACACAAAGCTGCTGGGTCTGCTGCTTGGGACCTGGTTGTCTTCCCCTGTTTTCAGCGTCTCCTTTTGTGTAATCTTGGTTGGCGAGGGGGAGGGAGAGGCTGCTGGCAGGGAAGGGGCAGGCAGAGCTCCTGGCAGAGCTCCTGGCCTGGACATCGGTTCAGGCAATCCCCTCCTGCACCAGCTTCACCTCTGCAAAGTAGTGACTGTCCTTCTTCAGTTTTTAAACTGCCTGTCCACTTTCATAGCTCCCTCTGAAATTCTTACTTGGAAAGCACTCTGAAGGACAGTTTTTACTGATAATTAATGAATAAACTCCTAAATCCAAACCGACTCCTCCAACGACACCCTGGAGATGAGGAGTGAGACTTAGTTTCACCCCTTCGCAAGACAGCCATGATTTGCAGCACTGAGCAGCTGCTCCCAATCTGCTGGGATTGTTCTCCTCCAGGTTTTGTGCCAGACAAGTTTCCCCATAAATAAACCGCTTAGTCAGTGTTGTGCCTGTGCCAGGCTCGCATCTCTCCTTGGAACAGTCCCAGTGCAGATGGGTTGCAAACCAGCCCTGTTTATGTAGTTTCTAGGGCTTTATGTCACTGCTCTGGCCTCAAAAGGATCGACGTGTCTCTAGGATTTCGAGATACCGGTTCAAGGCAGGGAGTGACAGTAGGACTCTTGTGAAATAGCGTGAGCAAACTTTAGAGAGAGATGGGGCTTGGGAAGCCCGTCCCCTGGTGTCACAGGCAGTGGTCTACTAAGATCTGCCATTATAAGGGTTTCAAACAATCCTTTAATTCGACTTCATCCCTCTCCTGCTGTTTCATCTGGAGATCCCAAAGCACTTGAAGCAGCCTCCCAGGTCTCCCTGTTGATTGTGAAACCTGCTGCCCCATTTACTGGGGAAGCAGAAGCACGCGGAGGGACGGCAGGTCCGTGTTGCACCCACGATGAGCCGCCGCCTGGCTGGTCTGACTCAGCCCTCGCTCCGGTGACTTTGCAAAACCAAAGGAAGGTGCTGGCGTCCGGGTGCCCAGCCTGCTCTGCCACCTTTCCTCTGGCAAACGCTTGGGAAGTCCTTCCAGGAGGGCTCGACGTCATGTAGCAAGCACCGGTGGGATGGTCAGGCAGCTCCAGCTGCCTTTACGCAGCCCCAGCCACGACTCCAGCATCCCATGATACGGGTCAGGGCTCGTGCCGTTTTTCCAGCACCCATACCCTGCGGGAGGAGAGGGATGTCCCCAGGGGTCACACCGTCCTTCTGTCCCAACCAGGTGGTTGGCGTGAAGGATTCGCGGATGGGAGAAGAGATCTGCGCCTGCATCCGACTGAGGGCTGGGCAGGACTGCACCGAGGAAGAGATTAAAGCTTTCTGCAAAGGGAAGGTGGGTCTCCCACTCTGAGCCCAGTAATTCAGTTCCCTGCCGGACCAGTACACCCAGTAGCTGCTGGGGATTTGCAGATGATAGTGCAGGGGTTTAGAGCGACTGGGGGTCCGGCCCTGGCTGGGGTGGTTCCCGCTGGGCAGGATACGCTGTTCCCAGCAGGTTGCGTAGCGGTTGGTTTTCCCTTCCCAGATCTCCCATTTCAAGATCCCGCGGTACGTTGTGTTTGTGGGTCAGTACCCGCTCACCGTCTCAGGCAAGGTAAGAGAGGGGCTGGGGCAGGGCAGGGGCCCTGGCCTCCTGTCCCGTCTCCTCTCTGAGTCGCTCCTCCTCCTCTCTGCGCTTTATTCCAGATTCAGAAATACAAATTGAGGGAGCAGATGGAGAAGCACCTTCAGCGCTGAGCTTGGGAAGGCAGAGTGAAAAAAGGGGATAAATCAGCCCCGCTTCAGCCAACTTCGCGTCTGCTTTTCACCTGTGCCTTGGGCTACGCGGCGGAGACCTTCGCTCCCCGACATCAGGCCGATGGCACTTTGTTAATAAAACAGAGCGCCTTTTTTTCCCCCGTTGGGTTTGTTTCTTTGCCAACAGCAATACCGCGGCGTGAGGAAGGGATGCTTATTTCTGGAGTTCTCTCCTCTCACTGAAAGACCTTACGAAGGTTTGAAAGTCTTGCACCTCCGAGCAATGTGGCTGCAGCCGTTTCAGAGGACTTTGTGGGCCCAACCAGATGCTGGTAGATATTTTACTGATATTTTAAGCCATAACAGCCTGGCCTGGCTTCCCAAGGTAGGTGAATGCCGTCTCTGCTGAGACCCCTAGGTCATATAACACAGCTGATGAACTCGAAATGAAGGGCAGGGGCTTTAGAGGGTGAGACTTTGCATGAGAAGGGGCTCCCTAAAGCTGGCTGGAAAAGCTCGCCCCGTTCCCACACCTCCCCGGGCCTTCTGACCCCACAAAGAAACTTCTCCGAGGCAGAGAGACTTGGCGTTGTTTATTTTGTTGTTTTGGACAAGACAGACAGTAAGGATTTTGCAGAAATACCAAAGTTCCTGTCCCGGCGGCAATGTGAAGCAGAGCATACGCCGGACAGCGTTTTACGGGAGTTCTTTGGTACCTCCCAACCATGAACACTACTCCGAGAAATGGAAGAGCAGAATTCCTCTTCCTTCCCGGCAGAAGTCTCCCACCCCAGCTGGGATGCAGATAACGTTGCTGCCAACTCTCGCCGACCTCCCGGCCACCTCCCTCCTGCTCCCTTCCCAGCTGGGCTAGCAGCAGGGCTAGCGGCCGGGCCTCCGCCTCCGCGCTGGGGCTTTCTCCGGCGGGTGGGGGGGAACGGTGCAACGGGGAGAGGGGTGAAGCGTCAGCGAGGTCTCGATCCCGGAGCTCCCAGCTGGACTGTGGGCTCTACCCATGGAAGCAGACCAAGTGGACAACACGTCCACAGTTCGTGCCTGCTTTCTGGAAGAAAAAAAACGGGATGGTTCGTGTCTGACCCTTTGCGGTGTCTCCCCAGCAAGTTCCTCCACTGTTCCCAAACTGCTCCTGGTGTCAGCGGGTTTCATCAGCTTTGCCTCTGCCCACCCCGGAGTAAGTGGGATGCGTGCAAGCACAGCTCAGCTCTCCTCCCTGCCCTGGTTTTAGGATCCTTATAAACCTTCCTTCCCGGAGGAGGAGCCGTTACCTGCGTGACAGCAGCCGCAGCCCGAGCTTGGGGATGCTGTGGACCTCTGGGTCTGGTGCCTAGGGAAGGACTTTTTGCCTTCCTTTGCTTCCCACAGCACTAACCCTGGCGCGGGCCAGGCTTGCAGAGCGAGGAGCTTCTGCTCTGGTTCCTGGCTGGTGGCCACCCTCTGCGCTGCCCAGAAGCGCCCCAGGTACTCACCATTTTTGGGGGGTTGCTGGTAAGAAATGAAGTCAGCGCTGGCTTGCAGGGGTAGACACACTGCTGAGAAACACAGCGAGCACCGGTCACAGCCAGCACACGGGGGTACCGCCCCCCCGTCACCCCATCCCTGCTCCCCGGAGCTCTGCTCGTGTCCCGGGAGCTGCACCCTCCGTGGGTCCGAGCCCCAGCAGAGCCTGGGTGCCCGGGAAGGTGTCCCTGCCATCCCCATCCCCTTCCCGAGGCACCTCCAGCCCTCGCAGGCCAGGCCACCTCCTGAGATGTCCCTTGGCCATCCCGGCCTGCCAATACTCACAGGAGGGGAACGGGCGTCCCTCATGGCTGGCAGCACGGCTTCAGTGCGCGGGGCTGCGGGCAGGCGCCAGGGCTTCTGCCCTCGCCCGTCCCCGCGTCCGGCTCTTATAGCGCGCGCTGCCAGCTCGGAAAATCCCGGCAGCTGGGGGCTCTTCCCAGGGAGGGAGGGTTACGTCAAGGGTGGGTTACCCCAAACCACCCCTTCCTGGCCTGGAAACAGGAATTTACAGCCGCAGCCTTTGTCATAAGCATTTCTCACTTCTCCGGGGCTATTCATAGCGCAAATTAAGAAAAAAAACCCCAAAACAACGCCTGGGACCGTCAGCAGCGGGTTTGCACAACCCTGCGCGGAGATGCGCCGCGGCCGCCTTCTCAGAACGGAAAATAAGTGGGAAAGTGGAAAAGTGAAACCCCCCCTGCAGCCCCGGCGGGGGAAGGCGATGCGGGGGGCAGGGCCCGGGGGTGTCCGAGCCCCTCGGGGAGGCCCCCGGCCCCCGGGGAGGGGGAGGCCC